ATATTTAGTTTTTGTTACACCCCTAAACTGAACATGTGAAAACTGCTTACAAAGCAATCGTATTATAAAAAGAATGACATTGTTGCAAAAATTGGTGTAATGGTTATGGCTCTCCTTTAGCACAATGAATGATTTAGTTCTCTACATAGGCTTTTGGACCCCAAGCCTGACCCCCATCTTGATGCAATGATGCAAGACCTTATGCCACTAAAATATTAGTATGAAATAGTGTCATTCAGAGTTTGACTATATACACAAATAATGAACTGGCAAATATCTAGTTTCAAATTAGATCCTCGCAATACAGCAAAATTGTTATCTTTGCTTTATACAATCATTCAAAATACATTTTGTTGGAAGGGAAGAAGATAATTGGACATTCCCAATGCTCCAATTTGAAGTGATATTTGCCTCTTAGTTTCTTGAAAAAGAAGCGTTGAATGTTATATACATAGGTTTCATTTAAATTATGCAGCAATCTTTTATTATTTCCCCAGATCTTATTGAATGAGGAGGTCTGTCATCAGATCAAGTAGGATATTCCACTTTAAATGTCTTGTAGAATTCAGCAGTGAACCCATCAGGACCTGGGCTTTTCTTTGTTGGTAAATTTTTTATTACCTTTTCAATTTCACTCATTGTTATTGGGGTGTTTAGAATTTCTATATCTTCTTCATTTAACTTTGGCAATTTGTATGTATCTAGGAATCTGTCCATTTCTTCTGTGTTTTCCGTTTTATTAGAGTACAAGTTCTCAAAGTAGGTATTGATGATCCTCTGAATTTCTGAAGTAGGATATTTCACAACTATAAGAATTATGATCACTAGCAAAAGGATAACAGCATCCAAAACCATGATGGCTTTTATTTTGCATCCACGCCACCACATTTGCCTTTGAAGCTGTTTGGATCTGTTGCTAAAAGCAGTTGCATTATCTGATAAACTTTCTATATCACATAGAGGATGGAGAGAAGGATTAAATGACATAACAAGATTCTTTTATCTGATTTCTCCTGTAGTTCATCTAGTCTCTCCCCTTTTTCAATTACCTTTGTAATATTTTCTTGCATGACATCAATAACTTCATCCACCTGATTCTGAACATGCTTAATTTTATCATTTTCTAGGTCTAAATCTTGGTCCAGATGGCCCCCTTAGAAAAAGTCCTCTTCCTCATCTGAATCATCTTCCAAAAGATTTCTTCTTTCACTTTTCACAGAACTAGTGACATCATCATCATTTAGGTGGCGCTTGAACTTGAGGGGCATACGTTTTACTCCTGGAATACTTTTCTAGATCCAAGTACAGTAAGTATTCACCACCTCTAAGACATCTGAATCAGGTATAGTTAGCCATTAGTTTGTTGGTTAATGCTACACACTGAGACTCCGGAGAGCTCCTGGCACTCTCTCGGGCATCCCTCGGAGGGCAGGCGGCTGCCGGAGGAGGAGCAGAGAGCCACGGAAGACCAGCAGGAGTACAGGACAGGGACAGTGGGCATGCACCCGGCATATGTTTAAACTGTCTTTCAATTTTAAAATATATGGTGACAGAAGTTTATATACATTTGCTGTTCTGGGCACATTTGCTATTTCCTCACTCCTATAACTTTCTACCTCAAAAATATAAGCAATAATTCTGCCATCATCAGCAATATTTTTAGCCCTCAAAACATTAGCAGGCCTTTATGGAACTTGAAATTTTGCTAATGAGAAATTTCAAATATACAGGACTAGCAGTAGACTTATTAGTTCTACTTAATTATGCAACGAAAGTCTTTACAAGATTTTTTTACCATGCTGGGAAATTTATTGTTCTTCTCAAATCTTTGCTTCATCAGTATTAAAGATATTTCATAGAACAGCCACTGGAGTGGAATTCTTTCATCAGTCCAGAGTTTTCCTAGATGTCTAATGGGTTTGGAAAAGGCAACTTATCAATAGATATTAAGATAATAGTAATGTGGCAGAGTCCTTAGTGTTAGGGTCAATATAATCCCACAACTGTTTACAAAAGGTGTTGAAAGTGGCAGGATTGAAGGAGGTAGACACTAGTTAATCTTTTTAATTATCTCTGACAATATTCCATTTATAGGTTTGCTAACTAAAAAATATCATATGGGCTGGGGATTTAGCTCAGTGGCACTGTTGCCTGCCTTGCAAACGCAAGGACCTGAATTTGATCTCTGGTACAAAAAAAAAAAAGAAAAAAAAATATATCATAAAATTGACCAATCAAGATTGCTCAGAATTTATTTCAAGTTACATTCTGTGACAAATTATTTAAACATATAAAGAAAAAAGTCATAAAGAAGGAAAATACAAAATATTTGAATCATTTTTATGTGTAAACATGGTCTATTTTAAATATGTAAAGTACCATACAGAGGTTAGCATGTTAAACTATTATTTCTATAGAATAAGCAAAATAAGGTATAATTAAGGGACATTTGAAAAATTTATCTCTGAAAAATAGGAAATAGGACATCCTGGAAATTATTGATGAATTTCATAACATTCTTCAACACATTGTAAACAAAGACAAATAGTATAGTTACCTAGAATGGCATAATTTCTCCTTTAAAACTAGTATAAAAAATCAACCTATGGTGGGTTAACTTCCTCCATGATGTAGTGCCAGTCTACTCAAACTGCATTCATATGCATTATCAGTAAGCCTCTATTAGTAAACACATATTGGTACTTCCTTTAGTATAAAATGTATATAAAGTGACTCTACTTCACTTTAAGAATCATTTTTTTCTCAGAAATTATAGGATGTAGACAATATTCTGCCTTGCAAGCACAAGGACCGGAGTTCGATCCCTGGTACCAACAAAACAAAACAAAACAAAAAAAACCTCTTCTTCTCGACAGTATTTATGATTTTAGATGGATCAAATGTTTCAATTAGCAAGAAAAATTTGGGGGTGTGTGTCGTTATGGCTTGTATCTAGATGTTCTCCCAAATCCTCCTGTAGTCAGAGGTGGGGCTTTGCAGAGGTGGCTGGATTTAGGGTGTGTGATGCTGAGATTTAGGGTGTGTAATGCTGGGATTTAGGGCATGATTACTAACCGAGTCCAGGATGGGTTTAGCATAGTCCTAGGTGTGGGTAACACCACCCAAAAGACTGGGATAAAAGGCAGAGGCAGACTTCTGCTGCTGCTACTGCTGCTTCTTGCTGCTTGCTAAGGACTATTTCTCCTCTGTGATGCCCCTCTGCCAAGCCACTTTGCCTTGGAGCCAGCCGATTCTCAACTGAAACTTCTATAATAGGTGATCCAATAAAACTTTTTCCTCCTTTAACTTTGAGTGGTGGGTATTGTCTCAGAAACAAGAAAAGTAACCAAGGCATGTGTACCTCCCACATTCTGGTACAGGCACTGGGATACAATGCACAAGGCAGAAAAGCTTCCTACTATTTAGCTTTCACTTTTGTATAAGGAAGACAATTAACAAATACACAAAGAAATAAATGAATTTTGTAAATGTTATTCATGCTTTAAGCAGGTACCTTAATTTAGGTACAGGGCTGGGGATTTAGCTCAGTGGTCCCGGGTCCTGCCTTGCAAGTGCAAGGTCCCAAGTTTGATCCCTGGTACCAAAAAAAAAAAAAATTGTGTTAATTTAGGTACAGCTGCTAATATTTTAAAGAATAAAAATTAAGTGTTAAATGGCCTTGATACTCTACCAAACATATTAAAAAATAAATGAAAGCCGGGCATGGTAGCACATGCCTGTAATCCCAGCACTTGGGAGGCTGAGGCAGGAGGATCGCCCTTGAGTTCGAGGCCAGCCTGAGCTACACAGGGAGGCCCTGTTTAAAAAAAAAGAAATGAATATAAAGTGTAAACTTACATAGTTATACCAAAATACTATTAATACATGTTGAAGAATACCTGCCTATTCATAGAAGTGACAAGCAGATCCGGGCATGGTGGCGCATGCCTATAATCCTAGCACTTGGGAAGCTGAGGCAGGAAGATTGCTACTCCTGGGCTACATGTGAGTTCAAGGCCAGCCTAAACTACACAGCGAGATTCTCTCTCTCTTCCTCTCCCTGTCTCTCTCCCCGTCTCTCTCTCTCTCTCTCAAAAAAAGTGACAAGCAGAAAACAGCAAAATAGTGAAGGTGAAGTAAAAAAATGCCAAAGTAATTTACAAATTACTGGCACATGAGAAGCAGGACAGAATACTTCAATTGTATACTATATTTTAACCAGACCATGTGTCTGTCAGACAATTCTGTCGTCAATGAACCTGGGCCGCCAGAACATTTCCTTCTCTGTTTACATTTGTATCTAGGTCAAGCACATTAACAAGAAGCAAATAAATAAATAAATAAATCTAGAAGTTTGGATCCCCTTCGGGCATTTTCATAATTAACAAAATATAACATAGGCAGCATGTTTGAGTATTTTAAAATGCAATCTGCGGTTAGTTACAAATCTTGTAGCAGCAGTAGATTAGATATACCTTATGCAACATTCGAAATATTTCCAAAAGCAGACACTTTCTGAAAGGACGCTCTTATCTAATTACCCAGAAGCCTAGAAGCTACTAGCCCCCACGGCGACTATGTAATAGTTCTGGCTTAGCCAGGGGAGAAATCTACAACTTTTTTTAAACCGTCATCTCTTTTAAAACTAACGGCTCAAGAGGGCCAGGGATTCAGCTCAGTGGTTTCGCCGCCTGCCTTGCAAGCGCAAGATCCCGAGTTTGATCCTCGGTACCAATTAAATAAATAAATAAATAAATAAATAAATAAATACATACATACATACATACATACATAAAAAAACCCAAAAACTAACGGCTCTGGAAACATTGTTATTTTCTTCCAGGAAAGACAAGTTCCCGCGAAAACAGGAGATGATACCGCGCAGCGTAATTGCGTAATTTCGCCTGCGCGCGCTGTTGCAGCAAGTACTTCCGCCTGGGCCTCGCTGTCACTCACGGCCGGCTTCCCGCCCCTCCCCGCGCCGCCCCGCCCCGCGCCGCGCCGTGACGTAGTGCCTGCTTCTTTGCTGGGTGTCTGCGTCTCCTCACTGCTGAATCCAGATCTCCTTTGTTTCCTGACGCTAGTACCCTGTGCCGCGGATCTCGGCAAGATTTCGTACTGTTCGTCCTGGGTCCCTGCACTGGTAATCAGTAAGGGATTAAGCAGCAGGACGAACAAAGAAATCGAAAAAGAGACGCTCGGCTCCCGGCCGCCGTGCTGCTCCGTACAGCTTTGCTGCTCCGGACCGCTCTTCTCCCTGCCGCTTTGCTCCGACCGGCTTTTCTGCTTCGCTCCAGCGCGGAGAGGCTGAATCTATAATCGTCAGTGGAGTGTAAGTCCCCAAAACTACAAGGGTTTACCGCACCCCGCTTTTTTACTGTCTGTTCGAGAGAGTTTGCGGATTGGGATTGTTTGCTGGACCTCACTTTCTTTGCTAAACCTAACTTTCTTTGCTTAAAATTACACCGCAGGAGCCGCCATTTGCTTTCCTGGTCGCTCACTCGCTCAGTCCGTGTGGTCCGGCAGAGGCGCCTAGAGGCTGGAACCTGGCATTGCAGCGAATAGGCTGATGAACTTTGTGAACAAGCCAATGTGTTAACGACTGCTGCTGTTCCCTTACAGCATATATACTGGAAAAACTTGGTGCCTGATAAAAAAATTAAGACAAGATAGGTGTTTAGCTGGCTGGTGTTCTGCTTAGAATTCTTTGTAATTAGAGATTTGAATTTATATCACACTGGACTTTTTAGCTGTTGCAGTAGCTAGAACATTTTAGTGCAACAAGTGCTTATTGAGAAGTGAATCACCAACAAGTAAAAATGAGTAAGAGCAAAGATGATGCTCCTCATGAACTAGAGAGCCAGTTTATCTTACGCCTACCCCCAGAATATGCTTCTACTGTGAGGAGGGCAGTACAGTCTGGCCATGTCAACCTGAAGGACAGACTGACAATTGAATTACACCCTGATGGGCGTCATGGAATTGTCAGGGTGGACAGGGTCCCATTGGCTGCAAAATTGGTAGATTTGCCATGTGTCATGGAAAGCTTGAAAACCATTGACAAAAAGACCTTTTACAAGACAGCTGATATCTGTCAGATGCTTGTATCCACAGTTGATGGTGATCTCTATCCTCCTGTAGAAGAACCAGTTGCCACTGCTGATCCCAAAGCGAGCAAGAAAAAAGATAAAGACAAAGAGAAAAAGTTTGTTTGGAACCATGGAATTACTCTGCCTCTAAAAAATGTGAGGAAGAGAAGGTTCCGGAAGACAGCAAAGAAGAAGTATATTGAGTCTCCAGATGTGGAAAAAGAAGTTAAGCGGTTGCTCAGTACAGATGCTGAAGCTGTCAGTACTCGCTGGGAAATAATTGCTGAAGATGAAACAAAAGAGGCAGAAAATCAAGGCCTTGATATCTCGTCTCCAGGTATGTCTGGCCACAGGCAGGGCCATGACTCGTTAGAACATGATGAGCTTCGAGAGATATTCAATGATCTCAGCAGCAGCAGTGAAGATGAAGATGAGACACAGCATCAAGATGAAGAAGATATAAATATTATTGATACTGAGGAAGATTTGGAGAGACAGCTACAGGACAAGCTGAATGAATCAGATGAACAGCACCAAGAAAATGAAGGAACCAACCAACTGGTTATGGGAATTCAGAAACAGATTGATAACATGAAAGGCAAGCTGCAGGAGACCCAGGACCGGGCAAAACGACAGGAGGATCTCATCATGAAAGTGGAAAACCTGGCTCTCAAGAACAGGTTTCAAGCTGTGCTGGATGAACTCAAACAAAAGGAAGACCGAGAAAAGGAGCAACTCAGCTCTTTACAGGAAGAGCTAGAATCCCTTCTAGAGAAGTGAGGACAGTGAGGACATTGACACTTTCAGTTGGCAGGCTTGTCAGCATTAGAAAAATCTTGGTTATACCACTTGGACTGGATATTAAAACCTAGTATTTCCTTTTCCTCTAATGCTAGAAGTTGTTAAATTATTTCAGTTGTTTTTTCAGAACCATTTTGCAATGTTTTCTATATTCTTTAGGAAGTAGGATTGTATTGGCAGAAAGATTGTTATAGGAAAGTTGTAACATGTGAGATGAACAGTTCAGACTTGCAGCTTCACTGCAGGACTTTACTATTCTTGTTTTACAGAGGCTGCTGTTGGTGCCATTTTACTATCTGACAGTAAGAATACATTAGTTTGGACTTAGTTAAGCTAGTTTTTATGTTTTCTTACACAATAGCTATTTTCTTAGCTACTCAAAGCAATTTTCTATATGTAGACATGCAAGTTATTTCTAACAATAAAAGCAACAACTTTTGATCTTTTAATGTGTCTTATTCTTTAATAGATATTGGGAGTTGAGATGGGTTCTGGGTAGAGTTTAGTACTGGAAAATGTGATCCTATTTAGCAGCTGAAGAAAGTTCTGTTGGGTTTTCAGAAAAAGGAACATTGTAGGGGCAAAGAAATTGGGAAGTGTCATCTATGCATTATATACGTACGGTTCCAATCCATATCCATTTGGAGGTTGGGAACATTAGGCACAGAACTTTCCTAAACTACCCTAATTTTTGTAGACCAAAGTCTGCCTGTGCCTTCCTAAAAAAAAGAAGCTCATCTCCATGAAATTATGGAAACAAAAGAATGGCTATCAAGTACAGTCCAATTAACCATTCCATTGATTTGGATTAAGATATTTCTAATTATTTTCAGTTTAATTCCTTTATTATTAGTATTCTGACAACTGAGGTGTTTTTTATCTGTCATTTCATAAAAATTGCCCATAAAGGAAGACGGTACAATGGTTTGATGTTTCAGATTTTATTGAACTTTTCATTCAGTGCTTTATATTTGAAAAACTCAGTGATAGAGCTGCTGCAACTCATTTCTGACAAATTGACATTAAAAAACTGTTTGAAAATACCCTCATGGAGTAAACATAAACCTCACTTTAATTTTGTATCTGACAGGAAACAGTGAAGTGTTTTAAGAATTATACAATAAAATTCATATAATCATGCCAGTATTTGACTTCATGAGGATAATGTTTTTATGTGTGATAATGCATCTTTGACCAAAATATTTTCACAAATTTAAGACTTCAGGACTGAAGATTAAGAACTGGAGTTTTTTGTGGGTTTTTTTGGTACTGGGGATTGAACTTGGGACCTTGTGCTTGCAAGGCAGGTGGTGGAACCACTGAGCTAAATCCCCAGCCCCAGAACTTGAGTTTTAAACAAGGTTTCCCTAAATATCTAGGCTCCAGACGTTTTCTTGAATTTTGAAAACTATATATTAGCATGTTAGGGTTTTGGGTGACAAATTGTGCTTTTAGTACATTTTGGTATTTTGCTACATTTACAAAAGGGAGACTGGAAAATTTGCCACCACATTTACAGTAGATCATTTGTCAATTAATATCAGTGATGATTCAGTTCCATCAATAGAAAGGAAAAATGTTGGATAAACAAGATAGCCTACTGATCTCATTACTTTTGGTTCAGTAATTTATGCTGATTCTCACTTCCGCATTTCTAACCTGATCTCATCTGAGTTCCAGGTTTAGTGTATTCAGCTGTGTCCTGGAGAACAAACACTTAAAAGTATCCCTTAGGCATTGTAGCTCTTAATGTTCAAAATGAATTGCATCTTCCCTTCCCTGAAAACTTGCTCTTCTGTGTGTCAGTGAAAATAAAAGCCACTACCACACAGCCCAGACGTAGAAGCATATTTGAACCATAGCTTTTTGTTTTGTTTTTAAACAGAATATCACTATGTAGTTAAGGCTGGCCTTGAACTCAAGGCCATCTTCCTCAGGCTTCAGAGTATTAACTTTGACTTCTTTTTTCCCTTCTGTATGGATTCTACTTTTTTTTTTTGGTACTGGGATTGAACTCAGGTCCTTGTGCTTGTGGGGCAGGCTGCAGAACCACTGAGCTAACTCCCCAGCCGGATTCTACTTTTAAAAAGACATATTTCATCCCATTGCCACTTTTATTTCAAGCCATTTTACTTCTTAACAAATGACAGTGACTTTCTAATTGGTCTCTGACTCAGGCTTTATTCTGGAACATAAGAAGGAAGGAGTTGAACAGAGTACCCAAAGCAGGGAGGGAACTGGTTAGGGCCATTCTCTAGGAGTGCCACAATAGGCTGGCTCTCATGAAGTGGTCTGTTGTGAAGAACACCAGGAAGCCTGGCTTCCTCATCTCAAGCTGTCATGAGAATATGCATAATCCTGCAGGTGCCTCACCCTAGGTCTACAAGTCCCCAGATGTCCATTCAGACAACCCTGTTCTGTAACCTTCAGATGAAATGTGTTCTATCTTATGAGAGAATGTCCTGAGACAGTGCCGTTCTCAAGTTCTTGGTTGGTATTCATGAAAAAAACTCATTGCAGGTGCACACAAGGTCTTAGAATACTCAGCAGAATAACTCCACTGCAGGGTCCATAACAGCTTAGCCCTTGCAGAAAAATTTTGAAATTTCTCTATCACTTCTGCTTCCATTTCTCTTTCTGCTGAAACTTGTATTTTGACTCCCATTTAGTGATTAATGTAACATTTATTTTTTAGAATCCTGGTTTTACCCTTAGGATGTGAACAAAATCTTCATAGTTTTTCCTTGTACAAGAACCAAAGGAGAAAGTTAGATTTGTCTTTTCTCTTTGACAGATGGAGAGCTAAATTCATAGCACAAATTCAGTTGTTACTTTTTAAAGAGAAAAATGAAAACTAAACAATTAAGAGTCAAGTATTCATTTGGAGTTAGAGACTGGCTGTCTGTGTGAATGAACTGTAGCCCAAAAGGATCCAATGCACAGAGATTAGATAGGTTCTCATACAACAAAAGCTGATAAAATACCAATATAGCACTTAACCCATTAATTTATATGGAAGTTAAAAGATGTAAAATATTTTTGAACTCTGAAGTTAACACCTTTACAGTCACTGACTTTAATTTTATGTTTTAGGCTGTTTCTATAATAAGGTGGTAATGCAGAGTATTGGCATGTCACTGGACTCCAAATGTCTTGAACTTTCTTACATTTGTTACAGATATAGTAATGGGTTCCTTTTGTTTGAAGACATAGCCCTAGTGGCCTGAACTATTTCTACATCACTGAATAAATATGTAATTGTTCATTTCATTTGGCCCACAGTTTATTTTTAGACTTTCATTCTTCAGGAAGCTTCCAAGGAAGATTTCTGATTTATACTAGATAATTTTTATTTAACATCATTTACAGAAAAAATATATTTAATTTCTGCTACTATTTAGTATTCACTGTGGTAATAAAGAGCCTAATATAATACCTTGAATGTAGTCAGTCCTCAGTAAGTATTTAAATATTGTACATGTTTTTTGTAGTTTAAATGCATGTTCAGCCAAAGATGAGATTACTTGTTTTAATCTTTAAAGGGTAGGTGTGTTTATGTAGGGAGCCATTCTACATAATTTTGGGGGAAAATCATTTCATAATCAAAGTATGACTACAGCTGTCTAAGGCCCAATGTCACTTCGGCTGTGAGCCAGCTATGGCATGTGGAAACATAACTCCATTTTGCCTCCGGTCACAAGTTGAGGCCTCCCTCAGTGGTCCCATGATACTGTGATGCTCAAGGGCAAGATTACATCAGTTGAAGACATCCTGATTCTTTGAGAACCACGTAGTAATAAAAAAGAGAAAGGTTTCACTTGGCAGAAGGACAAATTCTTTATTAGCCTGCTACTATTTTAAGAATGCTCACTTTACTGTACTGTCAACATAAGATCCTCAGCCACCTAAGATCCTCAACAACCTGAGATCCTCATCAACAGAATTACTGCTGCCCTCTGAGTCACCCAATCGATACTCCCTTGATTATTGTGTGCACCCAACACATACTGGCTAGCTCAGAGTGTCTCTGTCTTTGCCCACTCTGAGGTTCTGACCTCCCTGCCCCCATGTACTTTGAAATTATCCAAGTCTATGTCTTTCTTTAGCCCTTGCATCCCCCTTTCTAGGCAGTCAAGGATTGATCACTCTCAAGTATATTTATTTACCCTTACACAATATAAAACTTTTGAGGGCTGGGGATTTAACTCAGTGGTTTTGCCACCTGCCTCGCAAGCACAAGGACCCGAGTTCAATCCCCGGTCCGCCCCCCAAAACAAAACAAATGTACTAAAACTTTTGAATTCAGCTGCTAGGAAAGTATTAAACTCTAATTCCTGAGATGATAATTTGGTTTCTCAAAAATATCTAAACAAATATAATACAAAAGTTGTTTATTATTTTGCACTTCTTCAAAAAATAGTGTTCCAGTATAATTAATGGACATTTAACCATGGCCATTTAAACACTAAATGTCCATCTAGATAACTTGATAGGCCTTCCACAATATCACTAAAATATGCTTTCCCCCCTTGCTCTTCTGTGTTTCTTCAAAACAGAAAACAATCCCTCAAATGTTACAGGAAAAATTAAATATCTTAAAACGTTCTAGTTTAAAATGGCAGATTATTCTCACATCTCTCTCTCTCCTTTTCTTTTTGTACCAGGGATTGAACTTAAGACCTCATGCTTGCCAGGCAGGCACTGTGCTGCTGAACTAAATCCCCAGCCCCTCTCACAAATCTCTTGCTAAAATAACTAAGAGGGTTTGAAAAGATGCTAATCCCAAAGACAAAGATAATAGGAGATAATATAACAGTGAATGAAAGATAACCCATTTTTAGTCAGCCAAAGTACTGTAGATGGAGAAATGATAAAGGCATTCAGAGCTCGGAAAGTTATGTGCTAAATGTCTGCAAGGGGTTATACAGGAAAGACAAGTCCACTTGATATAGAACCTGTGAGAGGCAACTCACAGTTTTTGCAGGGAGATTCCAGGAAAGATGGAAAGGTGTGGAGCTAGACACGTAAGGTACATTAAAAATAGGCTCAAAGGGCCGGGGATTTAGCTCAGTGGTTCCCTTGCCTGCTCGCAAGTGCAAGGACCCTAGTTCAATCTCCCCGGTAAAAAAAAAAAAAAAAAGGCCCAAGGGATTTAGCTCAGTGGCTCCTCACCTGCCTCACAAGTGCAAGGTCCTGAGTTTGATCCTGGTCCAAAAAAAAAGGCTCAAGAGTTGTATGCTCAGCCAGATAATTCTCCATCCCACAAAGGAGGGAAAGTTTATTTTCTAGATAAACTAAGAAAGGGCCAATTTGTAGAAAGCAGGCAGAGCAGAATGTCGGGGTGTACAAGACCTGAAAAAGAAATGATGTGAAAGACTATACATTTACTGCAGGAATGGCACCCTTTTTCTCTTGTTCCCATTAAACCAGTGTCTAGGCATATAACCTTTCCACTTCACCCCTTATATACATACAGAGTTCAGTTTGGAAGATTCTCTCTGAAGAACGTGGTCCTAGAGAAAATTCAGAATACTGACATTTGGGCCTTGTCAACAGGCTACTTACTACAGTGGAGACTAGCTGTTGACAAACTTGTCCACTCAATATCTGCTTTTTAGCGCCTCATTTAAAAATATTAATTGACAGCCAAGAGTAATTAGAGAAAAAAGGATTCTAAATGAAAGAGGATCATTTCAGCATACCTTCTGCCCTCAGATTTTATTTTAACCTCTAAAGAAGTGCACCTGCAAGGTTCAGGGTCCCACTCCACCGGCCTTGGGAGAGCTGCAAGAAGGAGCAGTTCATTAGGAGTTTTCTGATAAACACACCCTCGACTTCGCCAGCCCCAGAGAGCTTGTCTTCTCTATTTTAAATATTTCTGTAGATTGCCACTTTGAATCTAGGCTCAATCAGCTGAAAGCATCTCCTGCTTTAAGTAGTAAGAAATGAGAGTCTGAAAGAAGTTTTTTTTTCTTGTTGACATTGGGGATCAAACCCCAAGCACATCCTCTACTACCGAGCTATACTCCTAACCCCAGGGATGCACTGCCCCCTACCCCAGTTGAATGAGAACACCAATCACAAGACTGTTTTGTTCTTTTTTGTTTTTGTGAGTTTGAAATTTTTATTGGTACATGTTTGCAGTATATAATTACATTTATCGTGGGGAATTGGTACGTGTGCATAATACAGCATAATCTTTTTTACTTCCCCTTCTCCTCCCTTCCCACGAGCTGCTTTCAGTGGCAATATTACTGTTCATCAAAGTATTCGTTCCTGCTTCCTGCGGGGGTGCGCGGGCGGGCGGTTCGCGTGAGCCCCACGAGCCGTGGGCCGGGGGTTACTCTCTCAAGCATGGAAAACGACTGTGGCCTGGCCGGTGGCCGAGCGCCTTGGGTTCCTGGATGCCCCACGGCTGGGAGTGGGGGCCGCCCAAGCGCTTGCTCGAAGTGGCGGGGTTGAGCCAGGGTTCCTGCCCCCAGAGAGACAGGTGGCCCAACATGAAGTCCAGCCCCTCCATCCAAGCCGCCATCTACCTCGCAGCGGGGGCTGCCGGGGGCACCGTGTGTGTACTGACCGGCCAGCCCTTCGACACAATCAAAGTGAAGATGCAGACTTTCCCCAGCCTGTACAAGTGCCTCACCGACTGCTTCCTGAAGACCTACAGCCAGGTGGGCTTCCTTGGCTTCTACAAGGGCACTGGCCCTGCCCTAATGGCCTACGTTAGCCAGAGCTCTGTCCTATTCATGTGCTATGGCTTCTGTCAGCAGTTTGTCAGGAAAGTGGCTGGACTGGACACGCAGACTGAGCTGAGTGACCTGCAGACTGCGGCTGCAGGGTCCCTGGCCTCTGGGTTTGCTGCCCTGGCCCTCTGCCCCACTGAGCTTGTCAAGTGCCAGCTGCAGACCATGCATGAAATGGAGATGTCAGGGAAGATAGCAAAAAGCCGTAAAACAATCTGGTGGGTTGTGAAAAATATCCTTATTAAGGATGGCCCCTTAGGCTTCTACCACGGACTCTCGACCACTCTAATTCAGGAGATACCAGGCTATTTCTTCTACTTCGGTGGCTATGAACTGAGCCGAACGTTTTTTGCATCCGGGAGATCAAAAGATGAACTAGGTCCTGTCCCTTTGATGTTAAGTGGGGGAACTGCTGGAATCTGCCTTTGGTTTGTCATATTCCCAGTGGATTGTATTCAATCCAGAATTCAGGTTCTTTCCATCCATGGAAAACAGGCAGGATTTGTTGGAACTCTTTTAAGTGTTGTGAGAAATAAAGGAATACTAGCCTTATATTCTGGAATGAAAGCTACTCTTATTCGAGCGATCCCCTCCAATGCTGCACTATTTTTGGGCTATGGATACAGCAGGAAGATGATGATGAGCAAGTTGGAAGCTTACTGAAATGCTGGTGAACCTGGATGCAAGTACCTGAGTTTGACAACTAAGTTGTTCTTAGGGCTTATGGAGTACAAGACCAAAATGAAATTATTTTTGACTGTGTAGGAACTTTGGTTTTGTCTCCTTTTATTTCAAACCTCAAACTGTATGGGAAGATCTCTATTTTAGGTCACTTAATTTATCCTTATAATCATATTGAAATAGAAATGTTGCTCTTGCCCTTTGTGGGATATACAGGGTGAGTTCTGTTGCTCTAGGTTCCTAATCTGAAAGGTTAAATATAGTTCTCTCAGGCCTTTTTCACAAATCTGTATGTGTACTACAGCTTGGATGGTTTTGAGTTGTGAATGAAATGCAAATTGGTTCCCTGTTTAGTCTTAAATATCACCCCAAAACCCCAGAGATGATCATGTTTCATGAAGATTGGTATAAATGCCTACACCTCAAGATGTAGGATCTGTTTTAAAACCTGCCTAACATGTAACACCACACTAGGCTACTTTTTTAAAAAAAGTCTTTACATGGTGCTTGAGAACTGAAATATGTAGATTTTTGAGGGGAATGTAGCTGCATAGTGGTGAGGTTTCCATGTTCTTTAGTAAAGTTTCAAAGTAAGCATCTTGAATTTTCCACTCTATTCTTAGAATAGTGCCATTCATTTTCAAAGTGGGATTATATTTTGCACTGTGATAATATTTTAGGTGTGGCCTAAGGCTTTAGGCCTTTGGGGAGCAGCATGGCTTTCACTTGCACCAACTTCCCTTCTTCTACAGAGCCAAGTTTTAGATTGAGGAAGAGGTGATTTGTGTTGTTATGCTTTGATGAAGACTCATGTGGATGGAAACAATTCTCAGCTTCTGATCTCTGTATCTTGGCTTCGGTAGGATTTCAGAGTGTTCCATAATTGTTTAGGGGGTATCAATTAACTTTGGGTTACTCACTGTTCTCTGAGCTTCTAGCAATCAGAAATTCCTCCAGGGAACAGGGAGTGCCAAAGCTAAATGAAGCTTTTGTTCCCTGTTTTGGAGACAGAGTGATAATACTTTTGGGTGATGTCATCTTCTTGGGCAGAAAATTTAGTGCTTTCATTCCACAGTGAATAATGTCAGGGCTTATCCTGAAGTTTATATTGGGGTTCATAACTCTTTGCTATTCTTTCAGTGTTAGAGCCTTCTAAATTTGGTACTGGTAGTCAGTGAATTTTAATGATATGGAATGTAACTATAAAAAGCAATGAAACATAAGAAAACAATTTTATTAGCTAAACTATACATATATATAGGTACTGACAAAATTCCCCACTACAACTGCCCCACACTAAAACAAATTGAAACTTCCCAAATCGTAGTTCAGCTAGTCCTCATGACTTGGATTTGATCAGCTATTCTTTGGCTTTATGGCATAAGTGGATTAGTCTTTCCACCACTAAAGTAAGCTTCATCATTTTGTGCTTGGAGACAAACAGGGTCTCTCAATATCAAGTGTCCTTAAGCACTTGTAAAACTAAAAGAAAGTGAGCTATTAGTCTTAATAGTGCATCCATATGTGTCTATCATTTGAGCAGAATGTTAATTCTCTGTGAAGTCTCCAACTTCTTTAAACTTTCTGTTATCAGTGAAGCCTCTGTGGTAACTATAGCCATACTGCCAGAAGTAAGAGGGTCAGAGAAATGAGATGGTGTCAAATAAGGGATTCTGGGAATATTTGGGAGGCTCGTTGCTCAGTGTTGTGTCTGATATGATCGAGATTATGACTATTGGAGGGCGATCAATCCTCTGCCTAGAAAGGGGGATGGCAATGGCTAAAGAAAAAAGGACAATAGAGACTTGCATAATTTCATAGTATATAGGGAGGTGGCTGGCAGGTTAGTGCCTCAGAGTGGGCAAAGACAAAGACACTCTGAGCTTGCCACTGTTTATTGGGTTCATACAGTAATTGGAGGGAGTATCAGATGACTCAGAGGGTAGCAGTAACACTATGATGATGGGGATCTTATGCTGATGAGGATCTTAGGTTGATGAGGAGCTTATATTGATAGGGATGGTAAGATGAGCAAAACGTTCTTATAACAGTGAGATGAGTTAAACTGATAAGGGATTTGTCCCTCCCCAAGTGAAACCTTTCTCCTTTCTTTATTACTACTTGGTTCTCAAAGAACCAGGATGTCTTCAGCCCTTGAACCCTTGAGCATCACAGCATCACAGGACCATTGAGGTCTCAGCTGTGACTGGAGGCAAAATGAAGTTATGTTTCCACGTGCCATAGCTGGCCTGCAGGCAAGAAGACTAGGGCTCAGATAGCCCTAATCATAATTTATGAAATGATTTTTTCCCCCAAATTAGGTAGGGGTTCCCAGCATATTACTGGTCTTTCATTTATTTACTTTTACTTGAAAACCATTTTTCAACTTTACTCTTAAATTATTTATGTATTTAAATTATATATTCTATACTTAAATAAGCAGTAGCTACTGAGTGGTGCTTTGTCTGAGCAGTCCTACTCTAAAATAGGATAGAAAACAGGACTGGCTTTCAGCAGGAAGTGGAGTGTTTCATCCTATACTTCTCCTGCCCAGCACCCATGAGCTAGTATAAGTTAGCTCCATTGTCAGCACATCTTTTTTTTCATATGTCATGCATTAAAGGTTTAACCAAATGTCTACAATAGAAATAGTATGAGGCAAATGTTAGTGGGAGTGAGGAATGGAAATCTAAGGAGAATATTTTTCCCACTTTATTTGCTTATTTCATGGTTTAGTATTTGGCTACACTTTGTATCATTTCAGATTTGTACTCCAAGAGAAAATATAGTAACTTGAAATAAGTTCAGAGAAATATGAATGTTTCATCATTAAATTACTTATCTTACATTAAAATATTTAGCTCACACTATTTACAATGTACTATATTGAGCTCTTGGTATTTAAACACTAATAATATTTAGATTTGAGGATCTAACGGTCTAGATATTTGTTATACAATTAGAAGAATGATATTCCAGAATAAATGTAGGAGAAAAAAAACTAACATCATTTCTCTTTCTGTCTTTCTGCCTCTCTGTCTGTCTCTGTCTTTGATTCTCTCTCTCTCTCTCATTCCCTGTCTCTCTCTCTGTATTCAGTCAGTGATGGAATCTCTGATTTTAAGGAAACATCTCTTTATCTTGTGTTCTTGTTTTTTGCACTGTGACTTTTTCTGCATTTCAATTAATGCTGTGATATTTGTTTCTAGGATTGAAATTGGACAAATCACTTTTCCCGATGCTTAGCCTTATTTTAAAGTTTACTTCAATTCCACTTTGCATAATTTGTTTTTTTGGGTTTTTCTGAGACAGGGTTTCACTATGTAGTTAAAGCTGGCTTTGAACTCAAGGCAATCTTCCTGTCTCAGCGTCCCAAGTGCTGGAATTGCAGGTGTGTGCCACTACACCTGGCTCACATTGCATAATTTACCCCTCAATTAAAAAAAACTTTGCTGTTGCTTACTATACCCTTTGGTCTACTGCCAGAGCTAGATAGTCTGCCTCTTGCAATGCTATAGTGATATTGTACCCAGATGTTCAACCTGTCCTAGCTTTTACTAGATACCAAACTTTAGTAATTAAGTGTCTCAGAAGGCTCTTTTATGGCAATGGAGTATGAAGCTTGTTCATTTTCTTCATGAACTTGAGGCTGAACTTGGAGGGAAAAAGTAAGTTCTTTTTCTTTGGCCCTAACCTCTAAAGAGGAGTGATAATTACTTCTAGGAAGATGTTTGAACATAATATAGTCATTGAAATTTTGATGAAGGGCATAAAATGTCTCTCTGTCCAAGGCCTGCATTTTTTAACTTGAGCAACACCTGACTTTGAAATCCCTGATATCTCTCTGATATCTCCAGCTTCATGTGGAATGGCCAAGAAGTCTTCATGAAGATCCTTTCTAGGAAGTAACTTATGTCAATGTTGGAACTATTGCCAGGTTTATGGTCTGCCTTGTAAGGTCCACTGTCCACGTGTGCCCAGTTTCCTCCTAATGACAGCACTGAAATTTAGGCTCCTTGTTTGAAAGGTGAGCTGCAGTCTTCCTGTTTCATGACCTCTTCAGGTTTGGCGATGATCATCAGTACTGATGCTCTGTTTACTGCACAAATCTTGATGACTTTTTTCAAAACTACTTCACAACATTTTGGTATTACCAGTTTTTAGTTTGCATGCTAAGATGAAAAATTTCACAGGTAGGTAAGTTCTGTAGAAAATCAACATCTCTTAAAATCCTACACATTCTCTGTGTGAAAATAATGTCCCCCGAAAAGTTGTTATTATCCTTTCCTGGGAATCCAGAGAGTTGTGTATATAGTAAATATTTCACTATAGCCTAGAGAAGTTTCACTGGCTCCTCCAACTAAAGCATCTCTCCACACATCATCACTCATTGATTACTGGGAGGAAATGCACCAATCCGTCTTTGGACAAATGGTGAATTCCTCTCATCAGTGCTGGTGTTCCTGATCTAACTTCTTCCTACAAAAAAGCCTTCCTCATCTCCTTGGAACTGGATATATGAGGTCTTCTCAGACTCAGGTGCTCATTTAGTCACCAAGAGGCAGCATGGCCAAGTTAGTCTTCTAAGCCTGGGGCTGCTGGCTGCATGCCATCATTCTCTTCTGGTAAGAGCTTTATTGGATTTTGGTACACACTGGTCTTTACTCTGTGCTTATGTTTTTGTGTTTCCCTCCCTTCTTTGCTTTGCCATCTGGAGTTAAAGCTTTTCTGGGTCAATAATATCTTGTTCTACATCCAAACCTTGTTACTTAGGATTGATTCTCTTCTGTTTAAGCCCCAGAACTACACAGGAAGGCTTCTGGAATCTGGGCTCTCTTACAGTAAGACTAAAGGCTTGGTTGAGGCTAAACATTTTTGATAAGAATAATTCTTTGGTTATTCTATGTGCCGTCTATCACATATACCTTTTCAAAAAAAACCTTCCTGGATCACAGGTTTATAGAACTGGATTATGATAGGCTCTCATCATTAGCCCATATGTTTACTTACTTATTCAATAGCATCTTTCTTGTTTCTGTGAGTGTATCATGATCTATCTAGTTAACTCTCTGTCTCTAATTTTTGTAAGAGACACAGTCTCCCTGAGTTACCCAGGCTGGCCCTGAACTCCTGGGTTCAAATGATCCCCTTGTCTTAGCCTCCCCAATAGCTGGGGCTACAGATGTACACCACCACGCCCAGTTTATTCATGTAGTTAAAAAAAATTTACAGTAATGGTAAAATACTATGTAATATTTTTACTTTGGTACTCATTTT